CAAGCACCAGATCTTGTGTTGTGTTGCATGGCTCACAAACACCAGATCTTGTGTTGTGTTGCAACACTCACAAACACCCAGGTGTGTGGTTCTGGTGTTGCCATGCCGTGTATGTATACATAGGATTGTGACCAATGTATATTTTTAAATGTACATTTATCATGTAAACTGTATACCCAGCATGAGAAAAAGACCTACAGTAGACGTGTAAACCATTTGATGTTTCTTTTAGGCGAAGAATGGGGGTTGATGCTGGTTATTACGGCTACATAATGCTTTAATGGCGTCATATTTACGGGGGTGACATGTACTCCGCTACAGTAAACATCCTGTAAAACATCTAGGCTGAGTACCTTGGATAAAAGGAATTTTATCACTGCCTAATGCATTTCACACAGATAGAATGCATTAGGCAGTGAGGTGGTGGTTATCTTGAGGTTATCTTGAGATATGATTTCAGGGCTTAGCGTTCCCGCGGCCCGGTCCTCGACCAGGCCTCCTTTTTTTGTTACACACACCCAGGAAGCAGCCCGTAGCAGCTGTCTAACTCCCAGGTACCTATTAACTGCTAGGTAACAGGGGCATCAGGATGAAAGGAACTCTGCCCATTTGTTTCCGCCTCCACCGGGGATCGAACCCTGAACCTCGGGATTACGAATCCAAAGTGCTGTCCATACAGGGCCCCCGTAGACTCCATACACAGTTTCATATGTATATATGATAGAGCCCAGTAGGCTCAGGAATCTGTACACCAGTTGATTGACAGTTGAGAGGCGGGACCAAAGAGCCAAGGCTCAATCCCCTCAAGCACAACTAGGTGAGTACACTAGTACTCCGTCTAGGGCGCAGTTTTTAAACTTAGTTAATTTATTATGCACCTTTTACCCATCCCGTGGGCGGTGGTGGACCCATACCCATCCCGTGGGCGGTGGTGGACCTCATACCCATCCCGTGGGCGGTGGTGGACCCATACCCATCCCGTGGGCGGTGGTGGACCTCATACCCATCCCGTGGGCGGTGGTGGACCTCATACCCATCCCGTGTGCGGTGGTGGACCCATACCCATCCCGTGTGCGGTGGTGGACCCATACCCATCCCGTGGGCGGTGGTGGACCTCATACCCATCCCGTGTGCGGTGGTGGACCCATACCCATCCCGTGTGCGGTGGTGGACCCATACCCATCCCGTGGGCGGTGGTGGACCTCATACCCATCCTGTGTGCGGTGGTGGACCCATACCCATCCCGTGGGCGGTGGTGGACCTCATACCCATCCCGTGGGCGGTGGTGGACCCATACCCATCCCGTGTGCGGTGGTGGAGCCCATACCCATCCCGTGTGCGGTGGGGGACCCATACCCATCCCTTATGCGGTGGTGGACCCATACCCATCCCGTGTGCGGTGGTGGACCTCATACCCATCCCTTATGCGGTGGTGGACCCATACCCATCCCGTGTGCGGTGGTGGACCCATACCCATCCCGTGTGCGGTGGTGGACCCATACCCATCCCGTGTGCGGTGATGGACCCATACCCATCCCGTGTGCGGTGGTGGACCCATACCCATCCCGTGTGCGGTGGTGGACCCCATACCCACTCCGTGGGCGGTAATGTACCCCCATACCCATCCTGTGGGCGGTGGTGGACCCCATACCCATCCTGTGGGCGGTAGTGGACCCCATACTCACTCCGTGGGCGGTAATGTACCCCCATACCCATACCGTGGGCGGTGGTGGACCCCATACCCATCCCGTGGGCGGTGGTGAACCCCATACCCATCCCGTGGGCGGTGGTGGACCTCATACCCATCCCGTGGGCGGTGGTGGACCCCATATCCATCCCGTGGGCGGTGGTGGACCCCATACCCATCCCGTGGGCGGTGGGGGACCCCATACTCATCCTGTACATTGAGGTAACCTTCAGGTGATTCCGGGGCTCAGCGACCCCACGGCCCGGTCGTCGACCTGGCCTCCTCGTTTCTGGACTGATCAACCAGGCTGTTGGACGCGGCTGCTCGCAGCCTGACGTATGAGTCACAGCCTGGTTTATCAGGTATCCTTTGGAGATGTTTGTCAAGTTCTCTCTTGAACACTGTGAGGGGTCGGCCAGTTATGCCTCTTATGTGTAGTGGAAGCGTGTTGAACAGTCTCGGGCCTCTGATGTTGATAGAGTTCTCTCTCAGAGTACCTGTTGCACCTCTGCTCTTCAACGGGGGTATTCTGCACATCCTGCCATGCCTTCTGGTCTCATGTGGTGTTATTTCTGTGTGCAGGTTTGGGACCAGCCGCTCTACTATTTTCCACGTGTAAATTATTATGTATCTCTCCCGCCTGCGTTCAAGGGAGTACAGATTTAGGCTCTTTAGTCGGTCCCAATAGTTTAGATGTTTTACTGAGTGGATTCTAGCAGTAAAGGATCTCTGCACACTCTCCAGGTCAGCAATTTCTTCAGCTTTGAAAGGTGCTGTCATTGTGCAGCAGTACTCCACTCTAGAGAGCACTAGCGTCTTGAAAAGTATCATCATCGATATAGCATCTCTAGTGTGAAAAGTTCTTGTTACCCAACCTGTCATTTTTCTTTGTGACGTCACAATAAAGTAGCAGTTGTGACGGCTACTTTATTGTGTTCTTTAAAGGTAAGGTCTTCCGACATGAGTACACCCAGATCCTTTACATTGCCTTTCCGTTCTATGTTATGATTTGACTGAGTTTTGTACGTGGTTTCCGTTTTTATATTTTCATTTTTTCCGTAGGGCATGAGCTGGAACTTATCTTCGTTAAACACCATGTTATTTTCTGTAGCCCATAGAAAGACCTGATTTACATTTGATTGAAGGTTTGCCGTGTCCTCTATGTTGTCTACATAGGAGAAGAAATATTTCGGATTTCTCTCTATTTCACTGATGACTTTTTGCTCTCTTTGCCTCTCCTGGGTTTTGTATGATTCTTGTAGCTTAAGTTCAATTGTTTCTATTTCTCTACCTAACCTTCTTCGCCGTTCTTGAGATAGGGTGCGACTCTCAAGTTGTTCCACGATTCGTTTTTTTTTCGCCTATAGAGGGAACGGCGTTCTCTCGTCGTCCACCGACTGTCCACCACTGTCCACTACTGTCCACCACTATCCACAGGATGAGTATGGGGTCCACCACTGAAAACAGTGGTGGACCCCATACTCATCCTGTGGATAGTGGTGGACCCCATACCCACCCCGTGGGCGGTTGTGGACCCCATACCCATCCCGTGGGCGGAGGTGAACCCCATACCCACACCGTGGGCGGTAGTGGACCCGATACCCATCCTATGAGCGGTGGTGGACCCCAGACCTATCCCGTGTGTGGAAGTGGACCCCATACTACCTACAGTTAGCACATTCTGGATATTTGGCTAAAATTTCTGGTAGTAGATCATTTGAATGAAATATTTACACATTTCCTTTGCATTTGTTATAGAACTGTCTCTAAAGTGATTTATTATTTCGCACTCCATCACATAGTGACGGAGGGTGTGCGAATAATTTTGTTGACACAGTTTACATTTGGTCAGGTCTACATCGGCAGATAATGAGAATTCCCAGAGATACTTGTAACCGAGTCTAAGCCGAGCAGTAGTAACATCTAGAAGTCTGCTGATTTTATTGGATGATCCATAGATGTGTGGCTCCTCTTGCATGATAGTATGATGATAGATAGAATTACTGGTGTCAATTTCACTTTGCCTCAGATCTACAAGATCTTGTTGAAGTTCTCGGTGTACTGCTGCTCTCAGATTGCTCATTGACAATCCAAGGTTACACTCAACGGCTCCTTTAAAGGCAGATTCTTTGGCTAACTTATCAGCTCTATCATGCATTCGGAGGCCAACATGAGATGGAGACCACATGAAATAGACTCTGTTACCATCATTAATAATTTTGCTGTATTTGTGTCTAGCTTCAGACAAGAGCATGTTACAGTTATGTCTTAAGGAGTTGAGAGCAATTAAGGATGATAAAGAGTCACTTACCATTAATGCATCAAGTTTGGAGACTTGTCCACGAATTATAACATTTTTACGTAAGGTGTTAAAATTACAGTACAAGAAGGTAATTTTCTCGAATATAAAAATTATTTAATATTATTCGTATGTTTAGTTAGGGCTAGTATATGTTAGGTGCTTTGCAATTAGTTGAACTTCCAGTTGAACTAATTGGAAGTTAAAGGAGGAGCCACACACTCGTGGGGGACACTAGTACCCTGGCTGCTGCTGCTGCTGCTGCTGCTGCTGGCTACCTGCTGGCGCTCCCACAGCCCGCCGCTGCTGGAGTCTGCCAGCGGGCGTCTCTTGTCTCATATATCAACATGCACCAGCATTACCTTCTGACCAAACGTCGCCTAATCAGAGATAACACGACCCGTGCTGCCGCACTGCCTCGTTACTGCACCGCCAGGATGTGCAGGCCACGGCCCTCATGGCTCCCAGCGCCGCTCACAGCCCGTAAACCTTCAGGTCTTCATGTATGTGTGGAAGGGAAGGCCACAGTGCTGACGACACTTATGGTTTAAGTTGTATCCTGGTGCAGTACACTGGACCTAACAAGGTCTGACAGAGCAGGTCTTGTTAGCTCCTGTCACTCACCCTACTGATGGTGTGGCGGCCTGGCTTTGTTGACGGTGTGGTTAGTGGCCCTGGCTTTGTTGACGGTGTTGTTAGTGGCCCTGGCTTTGTTGACGGTGTGGTTAGTGGCCCTGGCTTTGTTGACGGTGTTGTTAGTGGCCCTGGCTTTGTTGACGGTGTTGTTAGTGGCCCTGGCTTTGTTGACGGTGTGGTTAGTGGCCCTGGCTTTGCTGACGGTGTGGTTAGTGGCCCTGGCTTTGTTGACGGTGTGGTTAGTGGCCCTGGCTTTGCTGACAGTGTGGTTAGCGGCCCTGGCTTTGTTGACGGTGTGGTTAGTGGCCCTGGCTTTGTTGACGGTGTGGTTAGTGGCCCTGGCTTTGTTGACGGTGTGGTTAGTGGCCCTCTCCTTGCTGATAGTGTGGTTAGTGGCCCTCTCCTTGCTGATAGTGTGGTTAGTGGCCCTCTTCTTGCTGACGGTGTGGTTAGTGGCCCTCTCCATGCTGACGGTGTGGTTAGTGGCCCTCTTCTTGCTGACGGTGTGGTTAGTGGCCCTCTCCATGCTGACGGTGTGGTTAGTGGCCCTCTTCTTGCTGATAGTGTGGTTAGTGGCCCTCTCCATGCTGACGGTGTGGTTAGTGGCCCTCTCCATGCTGACGGTGTGGTTAGTGGCCCTCTCCTTGCTGACGGTGTGGTTAGTGGCCCTCTCCTTGCTGACGGTGTGGTTAGTGGCCCTGGCCATGCTGACGGTGTGGTTAGTGGCCCTCTCCTTGCTGATAGTGTGGTTAGTGGCCCTCTCCATGCTGACGGTGTGGTTAGTGGCCCTCTCCTTGCTGACAGTGTGGTTAGTGGCCCTCTTCTTGCTGACGGTGTGGTTAGTGGCCCTCTTCTTGCTGACGGTGTGGTTAGTGGCCCTCTCCTTGCTGACAGTGTGGTTAGTGGCCCTCTTCTTGCTGACGGTGTGGTTAGTGGCCCTCTTCTTGCTGACGGTGTGGTTAGTGGCCCTCTCCTTGCTGACGGTGTGGTTAGTGGCCCTCTCCTTGCTGACAGTGTGGTTAGTGGCCCTCTTCTTGCTGACGGTGTGGTTAGTGGCCCTCTCCTTGCTGACGGTGTGGTTAGTGGCCCTCTCCTTGCTGACGGTGTGGTTAGTGGCCCTCTCCTTGCTGACAGTGTGGTTAGTGGCCCTCTTCTTGCTGACGGTGTGGTTAGTGGCCCTCTTCTTGCTGACGGTGTGGTTAGTGGCCCTCTCCTTGCTGACGGTGTGGTTAGTGGCCCTCTCCTTGCTGACGGTGTGGTTAGTGGCCCTCTCCTTGCTGACGGTGTGGTTAGTGGCCCTCTCCTTGCTGACGGTGTGGTTAGTGGCCCTCTCCTTGCTGACGGTGTGGTTAGTGGCCCTCTCCTTGCTGACGGTGTGGTTAGTGGCCCTCTCCTTGCTGACGGTGTGGTTAGTGGCCCTCTCCTTGCTGATAGTGTGGTTAGTGGCCCTCTCCTTGCTGACAGTGTGGTTAGTGGCCCTCTCCTTGCTGACAGTGTGGTTAGTGGCCCTCTTCTTGCTGACAGTGTGGTTAGTGGCCCTCTCCTTGCTGACGGTGTGGTTAGTGGCCCTCTCCTTGCTGACGGTGTGGTTAGTGGCCCTCTCCTTGCTGACGGTGTGGTTAGTGGCCCTCTCCTTGCTGACGGTGTGGTTAGTGACCCTCTCCTTGCTGACGGTGTGGTTAGTGGCCCTGGCCATGCTGACGGTGTGGTTAGTGGCCCTCTCCTTGCTGACGGTGTGGTTAGTGGCCCTCTCCTTGCTGACGGTGTGGTTAGTGGCCCTGGCCATGCTGACGGTGTGGTTAGTGGCCCTCTCCATGCTGACAGTGTGGTTAGTGGCCCTCTTCTTGCTGACGGTGTGGTTAGTGGCCCTCTCCATGCTGACGGTGTGGTTAGTGGCCCTCTCCTTGCTGACGGTGTGGTTAGTGGCCCTCTCCTTGCTGACGGTGTGGTTAGTGGCCCTGACGGTGTGGTTAGTGGCCCTCTCCTTGCTGACGGTGTGGTTAGTGGCCCTCTCCTTGCTGACGGTGTGGTTAGTGGCCCTCTCCTTGCTGACGGTGTGGTTAGTGGCCCTCTCCTGACGGTGTGGTTAGTGGCCCTCTCCTTGCTGACGGTGTGGTTAGTGGCCCTCTCCTTGCTGACGGTGTGGTTAGTGGCCCTCTCCTTGCTGACGGTGTGGTTAGTGGCCCTCTCCTTGCTGACGGTGTGGTTAGTGGCCCTCTCCTTGCTGACGGTGTGGTTAGTGGCCCTCTCCTTGCTGACGGTGTGGTTAGTGGCCCTCTCCTTGCTGACGGTGTGGTTAGTGGCCCTCTCCTTGCTGACGGTGTGGTTAGTGGCCCTCTCCTTGCTGACGGTGTGGTTAGTGGCCCTCTCCTTGCTGACGGTGTGGTTAGTGGCCCTCTCCTTGCTGACGGTGTGGTTAGTGGCCCTCTCCTTGCTGACGGTGTGGTTAGTGGCCCTCTCCTTGCTGACGGTGTGGTTAGTGGCCCTCTCCTTGCTGACGGTGTGGTTAGTGGCCCTCTCCTTGCTGCTGACGGTGTGGTTAGTGGCCCTCTCCTTGCTGACGGTGTGGTTAGTGGCCCTCTTCTTGCTGACGGTGTGGTTAGTGGCCCTCTCCTTGCTGACGGTGTGGTTAGTGGCCCTCTCCATGCTGACAGTGTGGTTAGTGGCCCTCTTCTTGCTGACGGTGTGGTTAGTGGCCCTCTCCTTGCTGACGGTGTGGTTAGTGGCCCTCTCCTTGCTGACGGTGTGGTTAGTGGCCCTCTCCTTGCTGACGGTGTGGTTAGTGGCCCTCTCCTTGCTGACGGTGTGGTTAGTGGCCCTCTCCTTGCTGACGGTGTGATTAGTGGCCCTCTCCATGCTGACAGTGTGGTTAGTGGCCCTCTTCTTGCTGACAGTGTGGTTAGTGGCCCTCTTCTTGCTGACGGTGTGGTTAGTGGCCCTGGCCATGCTGACAGTGTGGTTAGTGGCCCTCTTCTTGCTGACGGTGTGGTTAGTGGCCCTCTCCATGCTGACGGTGTGGTTAGTGGCCCTCTTCTTGCTGACAGTGTGGTTAGTGGCCCTTTCCTTGCTAACAGTGTGGTTAGTGGCCCTGGCCATGCTGACGGTGTAGTTAGTGGCCCTGGCCATGCTGACGGTGTGGTTAGTGGCCCTCTTCTTGCTGACGGTGTGGTTAGTGGCCCTTTCCTTGCTGACAGTGTGGTTAGTGGCCCTTTCCTTGCTAACAGTGTGGTTAGTGGCCCTGGCCATGCTGACAGTGTGGTTAGTGGCCCTCTTCTTGCTGACAGTGTGGTTAGTGGCCCTTTCCTTGCTGACAGTGTGGTTAGTGGCCCTTTCCTTGCTAACAGTGTGGTTAGTGGCCCTGGCCATGCTGACGGTGTAGTTAGTGGCCCTGGCCATGCTGACGGTGTGGTTAGTGGCCCTCTTCTTGCTGACGGTGTGGTTAGTGGCCCTCTCCTTGCTGACGGTGTGGTTAGTGGCCGTGGCCTTGCTGACGGTGTGGTTAGTGGCCCTCTCCTTGCTGACGGTGTGGTTAGTGGCCCTCTCCTTGCTGACGGTGTGGTTAGTGGCCCTGGCCATGCTGACGGTGTGGTTAGTGGCCCTCTTCTTGCTGACGGTGTGGTTAGTGGCCCTCTCCTTGCTGACGGTGTGGTTAGTGGCCCTGGCCTTGCTGACGGTGTGGTTAGTGGCCCTGGCCATGCTGACGGTGTGGTTAGTGGCCCTGGCCTTGCTGACGGTGTGGTTAGTGGCCGTGGCCTTGCTGACGGTGTGGTGTCACTCACCCCTGACAGTGAGTGAGGCTGAAGCTGTGATACACAGTGAGTATCCTGGTCTGGTCATCCGGGACCTCACCTCACTATGAATGTAGAACTGGACAAAGAGAACTTTAAATTAGATCTTGTATTACTCGCCTCGTACTCCTCCTGTGACGAGGACAACTCGTACTCCTCCTGTGACGAGGACAACTCGTACTCCTCCTGTGACGAGGACAACTCGTACTCCTCCTGTGACGAGGACAACTCGTACTCCTCCTGTGACGAGGACAACTCGTACTCCTCCTGTGACGAGGACAACTCGTAAACCTTGCAACACAATCACCGAGATTGTTGAACTATGCTGGAATTTTCCTTGATCTGCTCAGTCTGTTGCCGTGTTGACTGGCGTGGTCGTCCTTGTGTCAGAGAGGTGAGTGTTCACAGTGGACGACCGTCGCCCGGGTCCCTGTTATCCCGGCACCCTCTTGACCAAGACCAGTGTGGTACACGTCAAGCCTGGCCACCTGGCCACAACACCTGCACATTGGTACACGTCAAGCCTGGCCACCTGGCCACAACACCTGCACATTGGTACACATCAAGCATGGCCACCTGGCCACAACACCTGCACATTGGTACACATCAAGCCTGGCCACCTGGCCACAACACCTGCACATTGGTACACATCAAGCCTGGCCACCTGGCCACAACACCTGCACATTGGTACACGCCAAGCATGGCCACCTGGCCACAACACCTGCACACTGGTACACGCCAAGCATGGCCACCTGGCCACAACACCTGCACACTGGTACACGCCAAGCATGGCCACCTGGCCACAACACCTGCACACTGGTACACGTCAAGCATGGCCACCTGGCCACAACACCTGCACATTGGTACACGTCAAGCATGGCCACCTGGCCACAACACCTGCACACTGGTACACGCCAAGCATGGCCACCTGGCCACAACACCTGCACACTGGTACACGCCAAGCATGGCCACCTGGCCACAACACCTGCACACTGGTACACGCCAAGCATGGCCACCTGGCCACAACACCTGCACACTGGTACACGTCAAGCATGGCCACCTGGCCACAACACCTGCACATTGGTACACGTCAAGCATGGCCACCTGGCCACAACACCTGCACATTGACATTCTTGGAGTTCAGAGCGCAAGCATCTTGCGGGACAGCAACAAGCACCACACAATTGTGGGATATTGTTCATGGAAACAGCATGAAGTAGCACAAAACATTGTTATGAGAGCTGCCCTGGGAGCCCCCATGTGGACCAGGCTTGAAGCTCTAAGACTGGAAACGGGTTTGCCCTCTCTTCAAGAAAGAATATCTCAAAGAACAGCTTCGATTATCAGTAGGATAATTGTTTCTCCTGATCCAGTCCCAGTACGGCAGGCCTTTTGGTTGGACTTGGCCAAAACAACGGAAACTCTTGGGCTACTGACTACTGGCTCCTGACTTCTGGTTCTTGGCTCCTGGCTCCTGGCTCCTGACTTCTGGCTCCTGACTCCTGACTTCTGGCTCCTGACTTCTGGCTCCTGACTTCTGGCTCCTGACTTCTGGCTCCTGACTTCTGGCTCCTGACTTCTGGCTCCTGACTTCTGGCTCCTGGCTCCTGACTCCTGACTTCTGGCTCCTGGCTCCTGGCTCCTGACTTCTGGCTCCTGACTTCTGGCTCCTGACTTCTGGCTCCTGACTTCTGACTCCTGACTTATGGCTCCTGACATATGGCTCCTGACTTCTGGCTCCTGACTTCTGGCTCCTGACTTCTGGCTCCTGACTTCTGGCTCCTGACTTCTGACTCCTGACTTATGGCTCCTGACATATGGCTCCTGACTTCTGGCTCCTGACTTCTGGCTCCTGACTTCTGGCTCCTGGCTCCTGACTTCTGGCTCCTGACTTCTGGCTCCTGACTACTGGCTCCTGACTACTGGCTCCTGACTTCTGGCTCCTGACTACTGGCTCCTGACTTCTGGCTCCTAACTTCTGGCTCCTGACTTCTGGCTCCTGACTACTGGCTCCTGACTTCTGGCTCCTGACTACTGGCTCCTGACTACTGGCTCCTGACTTCTGGCTCCTGACTTCTGGCTCCTGACTACTGGCTCCTGACTTCTGGCTCCTGACTTATGTCTCCTGACTTATGGCTCCTGACTTCTGGCTCCTGACTACTGGCTCCTGACTTCTGGCTCCTGACTTCTGGCTCCTGACTTCTGGCTCCTGACTTCTGGCTCCTGACTACTGGCTCCTGACTACTGGCTCCTGACTTCTGGCTCCTGACTTCTGGCTCCTGACTTATGGCTCCTGACTTCTGGCTCCTGACTTATGGCTCCTGACTACTGGCTCCTGACTACTGGCTCCTGACTACTGGCTCCTGACTTCTGGCTCCTGACTTCTGGCTCCTGACTTCTGGCTCCTGACTTCTGGCTCCTGACTTCTGGCTCCTGACTTATGGCTCCTGACTTCTGGCTCCTGACTTATGGCTCCTGACTTCTGGCTCCTGACTACTGGCTCCTGACTTCTGGCTCCTGACTTCTGGCTCCTGACTTATGGCTCCTGACTTATGGCTCCTGACTTATGGCTCCTGACTTATGGCTCCTGACTTATGGCTCCTGACTTATGGCTCCTGACTTCTGGCTCCTGACTACTGGCTCCTGACTTCTGGCTCCTGACTTCTGGCTCCTGACTTATGGCTCCTGACTTATGGCTCCTGACTTATGGCTCCTGACTTCTGGCTCCTGACTACTGGCTCCTGACTTCTGGCTCCTGACTTCTGGCTCCTGACTTCTGGCTCCTGACTTCTGGCTCCTGACTTATGGCTCCTGACTTATGGCTCCTGACTTATGGCTCCTCTCTCACCACAGCCCAGCACTGTGGTTAGAGAGTGAGCCCAGCAGTGTGGAGAGAGAGTGAGCCCAACAGTGTGGCGAGAGAGTGAGCCCAACAGTGTGGTGAGAGAGTGAGCCCAGCAGAGTGGTGAGAGAGTGAGCCCAGCACTGTGGTGAGAGAGTGAGCCCAGCAGTGTGGTGAGAGAGTGAGCCCAGCAGAGTGGTGAGAGAGTGAGCCCAGCACTGTGGTGAGAGAGTGAGCCCAGCAGTGTGGTGAGAGAGTGAGCCCAGCAGAGTGGTGAGAGAGTGAGCCCAGCACTGTGGTGAGAGAGTGAGCCCAGCAGTGTGGTGAGAGTGAGCCCAGCAGAGTGGTGAGAGAGTGAGCCCAGCACTGTGGTGAGTGAGCCCAGCAGTGTGGTGAGAGAGTGAGCCCAGCAGAGTGGTGAGAGAGTGAGCCCAGCACTGTGGTGAGAGAGTGAGCCCAGCAGTGTGGTGAGAGTGAGCCCAGCAGAGTGGTGAGAGAGTGAGCCCAGCACTGTGGTGAGAGAGTGAGCCCAGCAGTGTGGTGAGAGAGTGAGCCCAGCAGTGTGGTGAGAGAGTGAGCCCAGCAGAGTGGTGAGAGAGTGAGCCCAGCAGTGTGGTGAGAGAGTGAGCCCAGCAGAGTGGTGAGAGAGTGAGCCCAGCAGAGTGGTGAGAGAGTGAGCCCAGCAGTGTGGTGAGAGAGTGAGCCCAGCAGTGTGGTGAGAGAGTGAGCCCAGCAGTGTGGTGAGAGAGTGAGCCCAGCAGTGTGGTGAGAGAGTGAGCCCAGCAGTGTGGTGAGAGAGTGAGCCCAGCAGTGTGGTGAGAGAGTGAGCCCAGCAGTGTGGTGAGAGAGTGAGCCCAGCAGTGTGGTGAGAGAGTGAGCCCAGCAGAGTGGTGAGAGAGTGAGCCCAGCAGTGTGGTGAGAGAGTGAGCCCAGCAGTGTGGTGAGAGAGTGAGCCCAGCAGTGTGGTGAGAGAGTGAGCCCAGCAGTGTGGTGAGAGAGTGAGCCCAGCAGTGTGGTGAGAGAGTGAGCCCAGCAGTGTGGTGAGAGAGTGAGCCCAGCAGTGTGGTGAGAGAGTGAGCCCAGCAGTGTGGTGAGAGAGTGAGCCCAGCAGTGTGGTGAGAGAGTGAGCCCAGCAGTGTGGTGAGAGAGTGAGCCCAGCAGTGTGGTGAGAGAGTGAGCCCAGCAGTGTGGTGAGAGAGTGAGCCCAGCAGTGTGGTGAGAGAGTGAGCCCAGCAGTGTGGTGAGAGAGTGAGCCCAGCAGTGTGGTGAGAGAGTGAGCCCAGCAGTGTGGTGAGAGAGTGAGCCCAGCAGTGTGGTGAGAGAGTGAGCCCAGCAGTGTGGTGAGAGAGTGAGCCCAGCAGTGTGGTGAGAGAGTGAGCCCAGCAGTGTGGTGAGAGAGTGAGCCCAGCAGTGTGGTGAGAGAGTGAGCCCAGCAGTGTGGTGAGAGAGTGAGCCCAGCAGTGTGGTGAGAGAGTGAGCCCAGCAGTGTGGTGAGAGAGTGAGCCCAGCAGTGTGGTGAGAGAGTGAGCCCAGCAGTGTGGTGAGAGAGTGAGCCCAGCAGTGTGGTGAGAGAGTGAGCCCAGCAGTGTGGTGAGAGAGTGAGCCCAACAGAGTGGTGAGAGAGTGAGCCCAGCAGTGTGGTGAGAGAGTGAGCCCAGCAGTGTGGTGAGAGAGTGAGCCAAGCAGTGTGGTGAGAGAGTGAGCCCAGCAGTGTGGTGAGTGAGCCCAGCAGTGTGGTGAGAGAGTGAGCCCAACAGAGTGGTGAGAGAGTGAGCCCAGCAGTGTGGTGAGAGAGTGAGCCCAGCAGAGTGGTGAGAGAGTGAGCCCAGCAGTGTGGTGAGAGAGTGAGCCCAGCAGTGTGGTGAGAGAGTGAGCCCAGCAGTGTGGTGAGAGAGTGAGCCCAGCAGTGTGGTGAGAGAGTGAGCCCAACAGAGTGGTGAGAGAGTGAGCCCAGCAGTGTGGTGAGAGAGTGAGCCCAGCAGAGTGGTGAGAGAGTGAGCCCAGCAGAGTGGTGAGAGAGTGAGCCCAGCAGTGTGTACGGCACCACGTACCTGCAGTCATGGCAC